GGATTACAGGCGTGACCCACCAGTGCCTGGCCTTAGCACACATTTTTTTGTTCGTGTATGAGTGTGTGTGTGTGTGTGTGTGTGTGTGTGTGTGTGTGTGTGTGTGTGTGTGTGTGTACATGTGAGCTAGTCCTGGGGCTTGAACTCAGAGCCTGGGTCGTGTCCTTGAGCTTCTTTTGCTGGAGGCTACTGCTCTACCACTTGAGCAGCCACAGCTCCACTTCTGCTTTATTTATTTTTTTCTTTGAGTAGTTTATTGGAGGGAAGAGTCTCACAGACTTTCCTGCTCAGGCTAGCCTTGAACCACAATCCTCAGATCTCAGCTCCTGAGTAGCTAGGGTGACAGGTTTGAGCCACCCAAACTCAGCTTCAGCACATATAATTTTAATACCTACTCTACACCAGATTAAGCACTGAGTTCTTAAAACACACACACACACACACACACACACACACACACACATAAAACACCAAGGATTGTAAAAGGCTTTTAACATTGTGATAAAGACTTGGGGTTTCTCTAGAAACCCCAAGAATTGTGGGAAGTGCTGTGACTTGAAAGATCCCTCTGTGGGTATTGGAAAGGACAGGTCACTTCAAGGGTACATCAAGGAGCCTGCTAGCAGGGAAGAAATCCAAAGACCACTGTGTCCCTCTCCAACCTTCTGTTCTGCAGGCAGCTAGTCTTGCCTCCAGCTGGCTAGGTAGGAGGACTCAGGATATAATCCTATCACTAGCAACCCAGAGGAGAGTTCCAGGCCTTTTAGGTGACCCCCAGATCGCAGACGCTCTGTGTGAAACACACAGCATCCACGCAGACCCCAGGGAACGGGCCCCTGAGGTTACATCCCTCCGTTCTGGCTTTCCTCTCCACAGCCCCAACGGCTTTGAGGCGCGGGTCCTGAGCAGGTGGGCTGAGTCTCTCAGTGAGTGGGGCTTGGGTACTCAATACAACTTATTCACAAGGTGTAGGACTAGTAACAAGAGACTGCATCTCCAATAAATAACAACCACAAATATTTTTTAAAAAATTAGCCAGCTATAGACTGGAAGAGAGAACAGGAAAAACACCATATTAATAATAATTATTGGAAGGTGATAGCTTGTGTTCCCTAACACAGTTCCAACACAAATGTCACTGTGAGAGGCGATATTTCATTTCACTACTAACAAATCAGGCATTTAGTGTACTGGGGGAGAAATGAGTTGGAACTACTTTAAAGCCATGTTAACCAGAGAAACTGCAAAAATATTTATATTCTTATGAAGGAAGGAAGGGATGTCCCTCCTGGGCGTATTTAAGAATTCCCCATCTTTTGGATAAATGGTAATGCTCAGTAAGAAAAAAAGAAACAGAAAAAGAAAAGGATGACCTTAACAATAATCCTCTCCAGGCCAGCTAGGACTCGGCTTGCCAACGGACCAAAATCATTTGCAATATGTGCAGGATAGAAGTTTCTAGACTGATTTAAAGAGATGATAAGCTATGATAAACCTAAAACAACATTAAAAAAAATAGAATGATCCAAACTCCTCAAATCTGGACCAGCTTTCTTCCCATAGGGTGGGCCTTGGTCATATGTAAAATCACTCACCAACCTTTTGTGTGCTGTCTGCAGTTCGGCTCAGTCGCCCAGTGGGGTTCAGGACAGGAAAGATAAAGAGGAGGAGAAAACCAATCCATTCCGAGAGGTGTTTCATATACTGAATGGGATTGCTAAACCAAACCCTGGTCTGGCATGGTCAGGGCTTTCTGTAGCCAGTTCCCTTCTCTGTCCTTCCTTCTTAGAGACCTCAAGCAAGGGCCATATGGAAAATTTCACGGGATAAACGGTGATGTCAGTGCCTAAAAGCCATCCCCCCTGGGGTGAGCCCCTTTCATTCTTTGTCATTTCTAGTGGCCAATATGGATGTTACACCTGGAAGAGAGCGCCTCCGAAAGGGCCTGACCCGTGAGCCATTTACTTTTCAAACAGCTCCAAAGGACTTTCAACGTCCTGTTGATTTACTGCGGACGGTACCGATTCTTAGGAGACTGGAAGCTGTTATTCTGAATGGGTACTTTGGTGGGACAGAGTCAAGGAAAGCCACGGGTCTGATAAATCTGTGCAGGGCTGAATGTCTTTGAAACAAACACCAGGCCCGTACCACGAAGAGGCATGGCGGGGCGAGGCACCGCCCGGAGGCACCAGGCGCTCAGAACAAACGACTCCAGGCTTAGTTTGCCTTCCCAATCTCCGAGGTTTTGAATACCAACAGAGCCAACAGATCCCTGTTGAAATAAGCTCCGAGAACCATCCCGTGTGTGCTAACAGGAATCTTGGGTGATTAAACGAGAGAGAAATCCGCATGAATAATCACATCTGATACGCGAGGTACGCTCGACGCCCCTCTGATGAGCCCAACTCCGTCCCGCGTGGACCATCGCACGCGGGATTGATTCAGTCTCATTGCCTTACTCACCTAGTAACAGAATAATCCTTTAGGGCAGCCATTTAGAGGAGCTGACGGCTGGGATTCGAGAGCAGCTTCGCCTCTCGGCTTCGATGTGGTGGGACCTTGGGATCGTGTTCTTCACCTGTCCCTTGCTGTTCTACCCTGACAGCTCACAGATTTCTCCGTGCTCAGGGCTACGTAGGCGCCAAAGCACTTTCCTGGCTGCTCCAGGACGGTATCAAAGCCAACAACAACAGGAGCCTGAACGCTTGGTGAAGGGCAGGTATTGTTGGGGTTGAATCCAACTTACCCAGGAGGAGTCTGTCAGCTTGCCTGAGAAATTTAAAAGAGTCTATTTAGCCTGGCACTGTCACCGCGTCCCTTATTTATGTTTCTCAATGGGAGGGGAGCGGGAAAGAGCAGCCAGAGGAGCTGGTTCCTGCAGCCATCCAGCTGCTCAAGCAGTTAATATAGCTGTAGAAGGAACATGATTTACACAAGAGCACTTCCCTGGACACGTGCATGTGAAGCCTTAGACTCACTCATTCTGGGAGATAGACACACACGCACGCACACACACGTGTACTCTGGTTCTGATTGGCACACGGAAGACAAATGAAGGATAGGAATGTTTAAACAGCCTCTATTCACAACCTCTGCCCTTGATGGTACACAGGAGACTAGCTGACTTGCTGACAAAAATAAAACAAAACAAACAAACAAAAACCCACTCAGATTTGCCTGCAAGTAACAGAGCCAGGAGAGCTCTGAGCGAGTTGGGAGTGGAGGCCACGGGGAAGGACGGCTGACTGAGGAATCACATTGGCAAAAAACACAACACGGGGATACCAGGATCCACGGAGCTGACCAACCAGACGAGAGAAGCAGGCCCAGACTTCAGCCTGACCGGTGAGCAACTATCATCCCCCACCCCCCATTTCTGTGCACGACGGCCAGGTGGGAAGCGTAGGGGGACACATACCTGGTAGGGACCCTGGGTGCAGCCGCAGTAGCTGGTCTCCATGGTGTAGCTCCTGGCCACGCCCATCTCCCGCCACACCACCACCCTGGCTGTGGAGGCTCGAGACTTCTCCACGGAGAAGCTGCAGCTGCTCATCGTGAAGGCTGGCGCCAGCTTATCCAGAATCCGAGGCAGAGTCTGCAAGAGTTAAGAACGAGAAGATGGAGCGAGGAGGAACTTGCGAACGCTCGCTACAGAAATCGAGCATCTCTAGCTAGCCAAGAGTTGGTGCGCGCTACTGCGAGGCATTTATGCGCCTGAAGGCACGCACCCCCAACTTCTCTTTCTGTTCTTTCTGCAGGGGAGGAAACTGGAGCCCACGGCTTGAGTCCCACCAGCGCAGAGCAATTCCGACAGGAGGTTGGAGCACCAGCCTCGCCAGGACTGCACCACCAGCCTCGACTCCCCCTTTCCACCTCCCGGCGTGTCTCGGCTGCACTGCTGAATTGAGCCCCGGGAAAGGCCAGGATGTCACGGGGATCTGAAAGCCCACAGAACGACCCCAGCTTCCCTAGTTGGGGGGGGTCACAGGAAGGCCCCCAACACCATCGGGACCACCGGTTTCCAGATCACTCAGCAAGACGAACGAGGGAAAGTTCACTTGTTTCCTTGAGCAGATGATTGCCAAAAGGTACTTAAAAAAAAAAAAAAAGTAGTCTCTTCCTCGAAGCCATAAATCAGAGGCAGAATCCACTGTAAAACTCCTGAAACTCCAGCCTCTCTGGATTCATGCATCCCACCTTCTCTTGGAATTAAAGGGCCTTATTTATGACTGCGTAATCTCCGGCATCTGTGTTACCGCTAGTCTAAGTGGCACGGACAGGACTGGCAACCACGCGAGCACCGCAGAGGACAGCGACTCAGAGCTGATGGCGCTCACAGCCCCGGGGTCAGCTCCGGCAGTTTCAGAGCTTCGGTGACACTGACAACAGGGTGTCCTCGCTTTAGTACTGACGAAATAGTCACAAAACAGCACATACGATAAAATCATCCTAGCCACTCAGGAGGCTGGGAGCTGAGGATCGTGGTTCGAAGCCAGCCCGGGCAGGAAAGTCTGTGAGACTCTTATCTCTGGTGAACTATGAGAAAAAGAAGAGGCAGATGTGGAGCTCAAGTGGCGGAGTGCTACCTTTGAACAGAAAGCAGCTCCGTGACAGCGCGCCCAAGCCCTGAATCCGAGCCCCGAGATGGACGCCAAAAAGAGGGAGGGAAGGAGGGAGGAGGGGAAGGAGGGAGGGAGAGAGAAAGGAAGGGAAGGGGGAAGGAATGGAGGGAAGGAATGGAGGGAGGAAAGGAGGGAAGGAAGGAAGGAGAAAGAAAGAAGGAAAGAAAGGTCCGAATTTGAGGCTTTGGTTCAAATATAAATCACAGATACAGGTGCACACCATTTGACAAGAATATGGATACATGATTCTTACTCTACGCCATAAATATTGCCGGCTTCACTTTCACGTGGTTCAAAACACTTTCTCATTGCTTTTGGAATCTCTCCTCTGGCGCAAGTCCATCCGTTAACCACCCTGCATCTGAGCAATGTACAGTTACCTTTCTGTTGACTTATGTAATTCTATTGAGTTCAAGGGCATTATTCTTTTGCATTGCATCCATATTTTATGGCCCACAATAGGGCCCGTCTAGGTACTTTATGAGTTGGGGAAGAATGTGTATTCTGTTGTTGTTGGAGTCATCTATAGCTGTCAATCATATTCGGTTGATTGACGGCACTGTTCAGTACAGAGATGTACTTATTGATTTTCTTCCTGCTAGATCTATTCAATAATAGAGGGACTATGTGGCCTCCAGTTGTAACTGTGTATTTATCCATTCCTCTTTTCACTATGTTGATCCAATTAGATACACACATGCTAATGTCTTCTTGGAGCACATATAAATACTTGATACTTTTCCTCACTTTGATGTCTGTTCTATATGAAATTAATATAACTAATCCTGCTTTCTTTTGCTCAGCATACATTTACGTGCCATCTACATATGTCTCCTACTTTATATGGCATTCTTGAGGACCATATGTAGTTTCGGTCTTAGGTATTTTATTTGGTTTTTCTTTTGTTGTTGTTTGATGAGTCGTGGGGCTTGAACTCTGGGCCTGAGCGCTGTCCCTGAGCTCTCTCACTCAAGGCTAGTGCCCTACTACTTTGAGCCACAGAGCCACTTCTGGTTTTCTGGTGGTTAACTGGGGATAAGAGTCTTATGGACTTTCTTGCCCAGGCTGGCTTTGAACCTCGATCTTCTGATCTCAGTCTCCTGTGTAGCTAGGATGTCCGGCTTGAGCCACTGGTGCCCAGCTGGCTCTTAGGTTTTTGACAAGTTCTGTGTTTGAGAATGTGGACAGTCAACGCCATTGTTGAGACATTTGGGCTGATATCTACTGACTTTTTGTCCCCTTCCTATTCTCTTTCACCCTCCACTCTTTTTCTGCTTTTTGTGATTGCAAATGAACATTTTTTTATCATTCCATATTCCCTCTTTTCGTTTTTTTTTCACTTTTTTGTGGTTGCTTTATAATTCTCAATATGCATGCACAATTCATCCAAGCCCAATTTCAAATGATTTGATACATATCATTCCACAGAAAGTGTGAATATCCTTTAGTTACAAAATAATCTTAATGATGAACCGTGTCTGGTGGGCATTTTATAACCCCAGCTTCGGGGGTTATAAAGTGGAGACAAGGAAGCATGGAATTCAAGGCCAGCTTGGGCCACATTCACGTCATTACGGTCACTCCTGTCACCGGGAAACATGAGCACGTGGACTGCTGCGATGAACAAACTGACTTCCATTAAGCTGATCGAAAATAAAATCCTAAGAGCTTTTCTATTTCCACGTCACTTGGTTTTCCTCCGGTGCTTTTCACAGGAGTCCGCGTCTCTGGCCTACATTCTTCCTTCTCTCCGAAGATCTCCTTTCAAACCTCCTCTCAGGCAAGTCTACAAGAAACACATCTCCTCAATGCTCCTTATCAGAGAAAGTCTTATTCTGCCTCCACTTTTGGAGTGTAACTTCTCAGGGGAAAGGATTCTGGGCAGGTGCAGCGTTCGTCTCAGGGCTGAACTTTTTACTCCCTTCTCTTTTTTTTTTCCAGTTCTTCTTGGGAGGTCAGGGGTAACATCATCCTGTTGCCTTACTTTGGGATGATAAGAGTTCTTTGTCCCTTTGCCTCCTTGTAGTATATAGTTTAATTTTCAGTAGTTTGAAAATAATATTCTTCTGCATCTGGGTATCTTTGATGGGGGGGGGGCGTGGGGGCAGAAAGGCAGTGAGTTCAAGGACAGCCAGGGCCTTGAAGGTAAACACACACATGTAGACAAATAGCGATCGCATGTCATTATTGCTACCGCTATGACTGTTATGCTGGCTTGGTGCTGTCTGAGCTCTCTGGTTTGGTGTCTTGACATTAAGTGAGTCTGTTTTTCACCAGCTAATACAATCCCAGGGCAATGGCCGTGCGTTCTAAGCCACTGCCTGTATCTTGGGGGGGGCTTGATTAACTAGGACCCTCCGCTGGAGTCTGGCCCACAGGGCACAGGTCAGGTGAAACCGATCATCCTCCGCCTATTTCCACAGGAATCGCCGATCTGTTCAAGTAACCGGCGCCAGAACTGCAGCACTGTGAGTTTTCATCTCGTTTCTCTTTTAGTTTTGCATAACTAGTTCCATATGAGAGAAAGAGAGGCAATGACAGCATTCTAGATGGGAACTTGTGTGCGTGGGTGCGTGTATGTGTGTGTGTGTGAATAGGAAACAGATGAGTTCTACAGCTCAAAAGGAACATTACAGTCCCACAGGCATGTAAAGGGGCTCAAATGAGATGTCCAAAGTATAAGAGACATATATATTTGTATATGTATACATTTATATTGTAATAGCATGTACACTTATTATGAACGTGTCCTTCAACAGACTTTTCTGGCTCTTCTTTTCTAAACGTAGGCTATAGAAATTTTATTTAAAGATGATTCAAGAGCAGAAAGATGCCGCTGTGATCCAGCCTGTTCCTAGACACAAAGTACCAGGCATCTCGTTACAGAGATTAGAGACAGGCAGAGCAGAGCCCAACAGACCAGGACGGAGAGAAGTCCAGCTCCCACAGACACTTGCTGATGGATTACTCAGCCTGCCTGAGTTTGGGGGCCTTAATCTCTACAATGGGAGAATTAGTCTTCCCTGGTTATGGTTGTTCCAAGGAACAAATGGGAGTATATTCCTATCTAGCCACGGCCTGGGACAGGGGCCGGTGTGTTCCACTGTCCGGAGACGGCGCAGGCAGAGACTGTGAGAGGCCTCAGGATGAGCTGTGCACATTTGGGTTCGCACCGGGTCACGACCACGCAGGTGCTGTAGTGTCAGGTGCGAGGTTAACCAACCACGTGGGGGGGGAACAGGCTGAGCCGGATTCAAGTACGCTGCTTTTTTTAAAGCACTGTAGAAATCCAATCCATCGTCTTACCTGACTTCGATTTGACTCTGAAGAGACCCTCCTGAGGTCCCCCAATCCAGAGCACTCCCCAGGAAGCCAGGAGCCTGTCTGAGAAGCAGGGCCTTTTAAACGGGAAATACCTTCACCTCCCACTGTCTTCTCATCCATGGACGACGCACGTGCCAGGGTTGTGGGGAACCCCCGTTACTCCTCCCTACGGTTCGGGGTGGAGTTCAGCCATGACTTGTGTTTGAAAGAAAAAGGGGCGATGTGTGTGGCTTTCCATCCTTCATAGGGAACGCGGTATAGACGTCAGAACGTGCATTTGTTCACTGAACAGACATAAGCAGCGCATCCTCTAGTGCTGTGAGACATTCTACGAGGTGCGGTAGACAGAAGTTTTAAATACACATGCAATCTGTGAATGCATGTATTTAGATTCATCTTTGGCACCGTACGATGACTCCTGAGTCGTTATTTCTACCTGTCATCAAGACTGGGAACTGATGAACAAGATCAGTGCCAGAGAATGTCACGCCAGAGCGGGCATTTCCCTTGCAGGAGCGTGCAACCCTGGTTTTATTCTGTCTCTCCCCGGTGTCCTCAAAGGCTGCGGATTTCATTATCGCAGGATTCCCATCTTCTGCTTCGTCCGTCTTCTTGAAATCAAACTTGAACCAAAGCTTTTCAACAGCAAGGTTTATCATCTCCTCCTCCTCGTCCTTCTCTTTTCTTCTCCTTCCTCCCTTCCTTCGTTCCCTTCCTTTTTCTCAGGAGATCCTCTACTTAGCTGGCCTTAGACTTTCAATGCTTCTTCCTTAGACACTTGGAAGTGCTGATCACTAATTTTTTAATTATTATATAAATGCACAACACAGTCCTATCAGCTTTAAAGTAAGTATTTTAGTGAAGGTGGTCGTGAAACCAGCCACAATTCAGCCCCAGAACGCAACCATTGCTGTAATTCTTCCTATCCTCACATATATTCTCCCAAACTGCCAGCCTTTTGGGTCTCATTTCCATCCAAATAGAATCTTACATATTTTTTTTTGCCTTTGGGCATTCTGGATAGCAATTCTCCTATTTACAAGTCAAGTGTAGCTGGGATCACAGGCAGCTATTACAATACACAGCTCTTGGTTTGTTGTGACGAGATCTCCCAGTTTTTCCCCCCCTTCAAAACTGGACTTGAACTGTGATTTCTAGATTTCTCTGTGATTTCTCTAGATTCTCTAGGTACAAGCCACTATTTCTGCCACTTACTGTATTTTTGGAGCATGGGTAAGTAATACGGCAGTTTGGTTTTTTCAAAACTGGAGAACCTGTTCTACTGCATGAATACATATTGTACTTTATGTACATATACACACATGGTAGGCACACACCAACTGGGGGTATTATATGTAATGCTGTTATAAACATTCATTGCAAGTGTTCATTTGGGTGTGGCTTTCCACTTCTACACAAATACATGTGCAGAGAATTGTTGGGTTGCCTGTTGAAAGTACTTTTATCCTTCAGGAAACTATTGATTTGTTTCCTAAAGTGTCTACACCATTGTACATTTCCACCATTGTACATAAATGACAACATCGGTTTCCAAACCTCCTTTCTCAGACAATTGGCAATTCTGATCCTTTTCTAAAATTATTATTATTATCGCTGCAGTGATGGTGTACTGCTATCCTGTCATGGTTTCAATTTGTAATTACCTGAGAAATATTAGTAATGAATAATAATGAGTAGCATTTCTATGATTTGTTTACATGAGTAATTTACATATGAGTCATTTGCATTTCACCTTAGGAGAAGTGTCCAATTACATCTTCTGCTCAATTTCTGGGTTTTTTTTCCTTCTTTTTAATTTTTTAAAATTGTTTTGTTGGGGCAGGGAACATAGTTAATGATACAGTCTTGCCTAGCATGGATGAAACCATAGCTTGACACCACAATTTAAAAAAAAAAATAAGTAAAAGTTTGTCTTCTTGGCTTGGAAAAAAATTCTTCCTGTATTCTAGACACAGCAGCCTTTTATCACATGGATGATTTTTGAACATTTTTCTCATTTTCCATTTTGAAGAGCAGAACCCTTTAAATGTAAGTCCAATTTATCTACCCTTTCGTTTATAATTAATTCTTCAGGGATAAACTACACCCTGGAAACAATGAAGTCTGTAGAAACCAACTCTTTAGATTCAGGTTTAAAAAAATCCTATACTATAGATTTTTTATTCTATAACATTGCCAGCTTCTTCTTTAAAAAAAATGTGTTTGTTTGCAAAATGCTTTTTGGAAACGCCAGCACTTTCCTGGATTAAATAAATCTCTCTTCTTGTTCCTCTCTGAAATGTGCGCGGCGTAGCTTGTCAGCTCCATCTGCTTGAGGAGCTGGGGTAGCCTGTGATCTGTGCTTCTTCAGCCCAGAACGCTTTCGTTCCCAGTGCTCGATATATCTGGGGGTCTAGAGGACCTTCAAAGTTGTGGCCAGTTCTCAAATAGCTCTAGATTTCTTTTGCCTATAAACAGGGTCTAGTTTATACAAAGACATACATTTTCTCAAAATTCCGGGATAAGAAATGGCTGGTCTTCATCCTTCTATTACCTTCTCATTTCAAAGATTTCTTCTGTACATTTGTGTGTGTGTATGTGTGCATGCACACACATGCATGTCCATCCTTATATTGATAAAGCTTTTTCTTTTTCTTTTTTTCTCCTAAGACAGGGTCTCTCTGACTCCGCCTCTTGAGCATGTTACCTGTGCAGATTTGATGACTATAGAATGTTGGGGTTAGGAACAGCTGTAGGGAAGAAAGTCACAAACTCTTGCTATTCTTCCACGATGATCTAACAAAAAGAATCATTTTCAAGCTGCTGTCTATACTGGGTCAATTTCCAGAGTCCTAAAATGATCGTTTTTGAGGACTTTTTTTTCCAGGTTTGTACATGTGTTTTGTAAATGGGGTCATCGACTTATTTGGACCAACACAACCAGCAATTGTTCCCAAAGGGTTGATTAATAACACTGACACTGAATAGATGTGTCGGGTCTGTGTGAAATATAATAGAACATGTAATTACTCTATTGACAGTAATGCTGAAGGATTGGAAAGTCAGGCTGGGAATGTGCTCAGTGGTAGAGCGCTTGCCTAGCATGCATGAAGCCCTGGGTTCAATTTCTCAGTACCACATACACAGAAAAAGCCAGAAGTGGTGCTATGGCTCAAGTGGTAGAGTGCTAGCCTTGAGCAAAAGAAGCTCAGGGACAGTACCAGGCGCTGAGTTCAAGCCCCAGGCCTGGGAAAAAGAAAAAAATTAATCATGCACACAGGTAAAGGTAAATGGAGAAGAAAAAGAAAATCAGGGAACAGATTGAGTCTTTCCAAACTTCATAGCTCACTAGATTTTTACCTCTTTGAACATAATCCTTAACCTGGTAGATGAAACTATTTTGTACACAGTTAACCAGCAGACCCCACGGGAACCATTTAGAAGAGGACCATTTAGAAGAGGCCGCTGCCACGGTAATTTTCCTCCTCCTCATATAACTTTGCAGCAAAGGGCTCTGTGTCTTTTTGAGGCTGGTGTACCTTAGCTCTCTGAGCCCTCCTTTCTTTCCTCCTCCTCCTTCATTCCTATTTGTCACCGTGGGGACAGCAGAATTCTAGCCAGTGAACCCCCCTGTGTAATTATTGTGTTCTCCTATTATCTACAGTCTCAGAGGCAGGATCTGTCTGCCTATCTGCCTATCTATCTGTTATCAAAAGTAATCAGACCGGGCCTGGGCACTCTCTTGGTGTTTGTTGCTCAAGGCTAGCGCTCTACCACTTAAGTCACAACTTCACTCCCAGCTTTTTTGTTAGTTCATTGGAAATAAAGAGTCTCACACAGTTTTCTGCCCAGGAATGGCTTGGAACCTCAATCCTCAGATCTCAGCATCCTGAGGAGCAAAAACCCAAGGGTTGAAGTCACCAGCACTTGGCTCTAGAGTATTTTAATATCTTCAGGGCTTAAAAAAATACATTAGTATTTAAAATATCAGGTTTTTTTTTTGAAGTACCGGTACTTTAATATCTTCATTTTTAGGTGGATGGAGTGGTGATCCGGAGATAAGATGTTCCTGACTTAACTGCACAGGGTTAAGACTTAGTGTAAAGCCAGGCATTAAAATCAGGCTCACTGTCCCCAATGCCCATGCCTTTTATATTATATTGAATCACATAGAAAGGAGAGACAAGGCAACGGGGGAGGGGCGGGGCAGCAGACCATTCTTAAACACCAGTGCAGGGCCGCCTCCCAGCCATAATCCTGCTTCTGTTAGAGATCTCTACTTAAAATAATCACGTTCCTATTTGGAAAATTGAAAATCAAGAGGACTCACTCTCTCTCTCTGAGGGAAGGTGGCTGGCTTAGCAAACCATGCATGGGGCACGGGTCTCCAAGAAGCGCTGGGGGTCTCTCCCCATGACTTACCCTGTAGCTGACATCCTCCACGAGACCAGAGGCCCCCACGGCGCAGCCCGCTTGCCACAGCGTCTCCTTCACGCTGCACCCGTAGAGAAACACGTTCTTCCTCTGGGAGTGGCCGTGGAAATCACAGAAGACCTGCAGCCACCACACGGCAGGAAGAGAACAAACAAACGCGCCCACATCAGCCCCACTCGGGGCTTATGCCTGTGCAACGCCACACTTCTCGGGCCGGTGCTGTTAACTCTGAGGCTGCCAGGTGGGGCACACTGGGGTGATGGGGAGGAAGCACCGTACCCCTGGAATTAGCAGGGCAGGGGTGTGAAACTCGGGGTGCTGAATGTCAAGAAGACCCCCTTTTGAGAAACGTCCCAGTGCCTGAGAAGACGCAAGATCAGAGCTGGGAGAGGAACCACAACAAACGCACTTAAAAATATAAATGACAGTGTTAAATAATGTACAAAGTCAATAGGAGAGATCTATTTTAAAGCGATGAGTTAAACACACACACACACACACACACACACACACACACACAGCGGAGTTAATAAATCACTGTAATGCTCCTCCAGCTTCAAATGCAACCACTGAGTCACTATTACAACTCAATGGCTGCCCTGGAGAAAGTTGATTCTTTGTTCTTGCTTGCCGTAGATCAGGTGTGACTTTCTCCTGCCTGGCTGCACTCTCAGATCTCAGCTAAAGGAGAAGCCCTAATTTGGGACCTGCTATTTTTGTAGCAGAGGGGGAAAAAAAAATTAGTCAGAGGTTTTGATTCACGCGCTGACTATTACAGCTTTTGCTGAAGCAAAGCCAATGTCTTCTCTCTGCCCACGACCCACTCATCAAAGGAAAGTCACCTTGTTCATGGCTCAGGGAGGTAAATTCCTTTTATGTGTTTGTTCTGCGAGCCACATGGCAAGGGACGGGGATGTGAAATCCCATTCCTACCAAGACAGATGTCAATAATGAAGATAAGCGGAAAAAAAAAAAAAATCTAATCCACGTCCAGTGACTCTCACGCTGAACTCTGCACCGCGCCACCTAGAGGCAGAATGTGTCTCTCTTCACCCTGGGACTCAGCCGCGCCAGAGGACATCTTTGTGTATGAAGAACCCACAGGTACGAAAAGCAGCAACTAAGAGAAAAGCAAGAAACCAACATCTCTTGTTTCCATTTCCTGGAGTTCCTTTCGATAAATATTACTGTATAGGATCAGACGCGCCTTGGTGTTCCTGCGCGCATCCTCCTTTAGTCTGTGTGAACGCCTGGAGACCTGGTATAATTTATCATGTCCCGGTGCATTCTTTCGTTATACCATCCGGTGTGCTTACGTGGAGATTTAGAGGTGCATTCTAGCTTACCACAAATGAGGGAAAACACGCAACCTGTGTTTCTCTGGGCCTGGCTTACTTCATTTAATGTGAGTCTCCCCTCCCCCAAGTCTTTTATTTCCTTACAGATGGTTCAATGATATCAGTCTTTCTGATGGATGAGTATAATCCCATCGGGAGGGTAAGAGGAGGTACAGAAATGGAGGGACTAAGCAGGCAGCAGTTGATCTCACTGGACACTCTATCGAAAATGAACTCTGCAGCCTGTGGGTGGGGATGGGAGAGGAAAAACTGGGAGAGAGCAAGGGAAGGGGTGACACTGTTCACAAAGAGCTATACTCCGCCTGACTTATGTAACTAGCCCCTCTGGACAATGCTTTTATCATAATTAAGATGCATGAAGGAAAAAAGAAAGAAAGAATGGAGAGGCACAAGACAGGCAGAGGCTTCGAAAGCGCTTGCCCCTAGATTTGCCCTCCTGCTGTCTCTAGGAATCGGCATAGGCTTGTCTGCTGGAGGAGGGAGCCACACCACAAGGTCACCCCCAGACAGGTGGACAGATCCTGTCTTAAGACTATCCGTCCCTAACCTACCTGCTCCAGCTGGAGGAACGATCCCATCCACACAGACCATGCTCGAATCAGAATCGTCATGAAGGACGTGTCGTTTGTGTGAAAGCCGCTAAGTGTGGGGGGGTCATCGTTAGTCAGCCAGAGCCGAATGCTACATTCATCTGTCCAGTTCGTCTATACAGCTCCCTCCATTCGACACGCAAAATGCACAAACGAAAGAAGTTGCACCGCGCCTCCTCTCCCACCGCCACACTCCCGTCTAAGATCCTGTTAGTGTTTCTGTATTCTGTGTGTGCCTCCTTCCAGTCCCTGATTGGAGAGAGACGCTTTCATTCGGTTCTCCCAGACAACCTCACTGAACTCGAGGAGTCCTACTCCTCACTCGTGTTTGGAAGGGGCAGGTGGACTGCGCACTCAGTCACTCGTCCAGTTCTGAAGTGGTAGCAGATGGACGCCCTAGGTCCCTACATCCGAAGGGCTCGGGTCAATTGGTGACTGGGGCCAGGCTCCCAGACCTTAGAAGCTCTCCAGTATGGATTCACGCTACCCACTGAAGATCTTTCCTCCATCTTGGGAGATGTTTATTTCCTTTCCCTTCTTGGCCACATATGAAAATAGCACTGGAGAATCTAAGGGACTTCAAAGCCAAGAATCTATCTTTTTTTTTTTTCTCTCATGCTTGATGTGGAAGTGTCGGGTTGGCAAAAGTCACTGTCTCTTGAATCAACCCACTGGGAAGATGCTAGAAATAAAAACACACGATGGTTAGGGGAAAAGAGGGGGGAGTGTATTTTTTTTTTTTAGGTTTTAATTTTAGATGAATTCAGCTGGAGAAAAGAACTGTTGTTATTATTTTTTATTATTATTTTTTTCCCCAGGATCCTTCCAGACCCTGAAAGCTGAGATAAATGACAAATGCCAGGCCCGTTCACCTGTGAGACGGAACACAGCCACGCCCTAGGAGATCTCGTGGGCTCTGAGGACTCGGGATAGAGGAGATGGAGACATTGTTCTGCTCGCTGCTCAGATGACATCCTCCAAAATAAATGCCTGTTACTTATCAGAGACATGTGTTCCTCCAAATTGCAGGGGGCAATTAGAAGACAGTGGAGGGAGCTTTCCTCTTTCCCTTTTCTGAAAGATTGAATACTGACATTTTCTTCTAGTATAATTCTAGGCTAGGGTAGAAAGCAGTAACCTCCCCCCACCCCCCACCGAGTCTAGGTACTGTGTATCTGCAGGGTTAATTAATCAATAGGCCTGTCTTGCTCTCTTGTCAATTGATCTGTCATCTATCTACTGGATGCCTGTTATGTGGCCGGAGAAATAAACGTTTGAATGTAACAGAGTGTCTCCTTCCACGGTGGCAATAATAATACCAGGAATTCATTGATGACAGACTTAGACACCCCTGACTAAAAAGTGTCTTTAAATATATCCTGTAATCCACACAATTATGCCACCATGTGCTAAAAATCCACATGCATTATATTATTTAGTTAATATAATAAAGAGTACAACAAGGAGGTAGATGGTATCCAAGGTCCTCGTTTTATAGCTGAGAACACTCAGCTTCAGTTAAAACTCAACTCCTAGGAAGTGCATGCGCACCTGTGTGAACCCCGGCTTGCCCTCGTTTGGAGATGAAGTTTTTCATTTCGGCATTGGTTTATCCAGAGATATTTGGGGGAAATGATCTTATAAGCTACCAGGTCACCATGCTGCAATCATAGGGTTCCCCGAGATGGGAATGGAGGCACCCTGGGTCCTCTCGGAGGTGGCGTCCTGGAATGGTACCTGGGACAAGGATGCGCACCACACGGCAGCCTGGCCATCACCCGAGGCCGAGTCTCACCAAGCGAATGGGAAGCAGAGAAGACCGAGGTTGGCCTCTGAGACCGACAGTGATTCCAGAGCCCAGGGCCAGAGGAGAGCGGATGGGATCTAGGTGCAGAAGGGCGCCCCGGGCAGGCGGCTCCGTCCCCTCATAGCCCATGGCAGGCCCATTGGGCATTTCCAGAAGGCAGTGACAAAGCCTTTAGAGCATTTGAGGAAGGAGGAGATCATTTGGTCAGGGGTATCACAAACTCCTAAGGAAATACTCCGGGTGGTACACCAGTGCATACACATGCATCGGCTGAAACGCAGTAGATTCAGGGGAGAATTCTGATAGTGTCCTTCTTCAGGAAGCCAAAGTCAAAGTTGGGCAAAATATAATACCAGGAAGCAGATGGACCATAGAGGTCAGGTAGAATCAAGGGGGGAGGGGTGGACGAACAAAGAGGAGAAGATGGACAGAAAGTAGCCAAGAAGCCAACGCATATCCTACAACATTAAGAAGGGGGTGGGGAGAGGAGGAAGGGCTAAGAATTTCAAAAGGAGTGACATCGATCAAGAAATGGCGCACTCATAAGCTGCTGATAAATGGCAACCCCTTTGTACAAGTACTTAAAGAGCATACTAAACGTTTCTAAAAAGAATGGATTGGGGAAATATACGCATGAATGGAAATACCACAACAAAATTCCTTTGTACAAATTCATGTACAAACGAACAGTCGTGTGTTTAAAATAAATGGGTCCGAGCGACCAAGCCCAGACAAGAGCCACCAGCCTCAGGTGGAAGAACTCGGAGAATGAACGGTGTGAGAGCGAGGAAGGAAAATCCATGCAAGCTTGCAGACTGAACCGACGTGGAGCGCCGGCGAAGAAGATGTTCAGGATAATATCTGAGCTCGGGAGCTCAGTCAATAAGACAATGATTGTGCTCCTCCCCGGGGCAAGGGAACTCAGGGAGAGGCACCCACCTGGAAGGTTCTAGGGCATCTCATTTAGTGAGGTTGGAGCTCTGGTGCTGCGTGTGGGACTTCAGATCCCTGGCTAACCCAATTCCCCTCTTCACCTCCTGGCATGCTTTCTCTCTAGCCGAGGGTCTTGTCTGGTGTGGGTCGGATGATGAGCTTACAACCCGGCTCTCGGGGCCTCTCCTGAGGAGCTTTTCCCAGGGAATGCTTGTCTCAGCTAAACTGGGAGACTAATTGGATGCACACGAACGTGAGGTCTACCGTTTCCCACTGGGCGATGGGGCTGATGGGGGCCGCATTCCTATGCTCCCCTCCTCCACCCTTCCTCTGTCTCGTTAATTGGGGGCCCCTGTTCATAGAGGTTACCCCCATTTCAAAACACACCTCCACACACCTCCCCGAGCCCTTCCCTGGCTTCCCACAGCTCAC